TGGTTGTTTTTAATCGAGAAACCCGGTTTTGGGAATATTCTCTGCTTGCGCGGCCGCAACCTGCCTGTAGTAGAAAAAAAATAAAGATTTTTTACCTGTTTTTTGGAACTTTTGACCGTTTTTTAAAAACTTTTTGAATTGAAAAATTTACCCAATGAAACACGAGATGAAAAGTTCTATTGAAAGAGCAGGTTGCGATAATTGTTCCTGCAGAAGCGGTGTCCTCATGTTTTTTGTATGAGAGTTTTTGTCTACTTGGGAAAAATTCTTGTCTCGAACTTTTTCTACTCTTAGAATTTGGGCAAAGTCCAGATTTTGAAATAACACTTCTCGTGTCGCATCATTATAGCAAACTCATTCATTATTCAGCAGTTGCCATCAGCTTTAGTTGGGCTCCTAGTTGTTTGCTATCGAGATATAAAAAAAATTTGGTTCACCTAGTTTTTATTCAACCTCTGTTTTTTTCAAATTTTTTGTTGATGTTTATCGCAAGTTGTGTGAACCTCCGCTTCGACGCTGTGTTTGACATTTACTTCTGTTTTTAAGCGGTACCTTCATCTATATTTTAATAACATTAGCAAGCTTGCGAGCGTTGTGTATTAGTACGAACCTTCCTTTTTCAACTAAACTCGCAAATAAAAGTGTTCATTAAAACTTTTCACGTATTTTGTGGCACTTTTGCCATTATCACGATCTGTAGCAATGGACTTTTCATAGCATCTGTTCTCTGCGTTTTTTGAGGCTAGTGTTTGTAATTTTTGAGCGTCTTTGGTACAGTGGTTAGTGCGTGTGACTCATAACCTCGAGGTCGCATATTGTATCCTAGACGTAGCAGAATAATTAGTAATTCGAGGTTTTTATACTTTTTGTTTTTTCATTTTTTTTTTCGTTTTCTTGCTTGTGTTTACGAAATCTATCTGCATCTCTCTGTTTAAATATGCGAACTAGCGGTCGTAGTGTTATTTGACGAATCTACTGTTATATAATGAATTCAGTGTATATTTTCCAACGAAGTCGCAAATTAGAGTTCTCATTTGGAAGCGTTTCTGCTGTTTAGCTTTAACAGGTTGATAACATCGGTTCTCTGCTTAATTGATGACGTGTGTTTGTCTGTTGTTAGGCAACCGTGGCGCAGATGCGATGATTCTAATCTACAGGTCGCTGGTTTGATTCGATCTCTAATCAAAGGTTTTTTCAAGGTTTATTTAAACCTTTTTTAGAGCTTCTCTATGCTGTTTTTCGCTAGTATTTGCGAAGTGAAGCTTCGGTATTGTGTGAAAAGTCACTTCCTAATTTTTGATCCAAATTAAGAACAGGATTGGTTAACGTACGATGTCACGAGGTATCGTGTGATTTCATATCACGATACGAGGTCTCAACACGCGGTTGAGTCTTCATGTATATAGAAATAGATTTACTACTGTCATATCGCTCTTTCATTCAACTTATGGTTATATCTTTTTCTGCTGCCAAGCTGTGATAGGTTTAAGACGCAGTTGCTGAAATATCTGTCAGAAGTCAAAAGTGTTTCACATAACAAAAATTTTAACAGAGTTTGCTGTGAATTGGTGACAGAGATAAAGACAACCGAGCAAAAAATCAAAGTCTTAGTGAACATGATAGACACAACGAGAGAGACATCGAGAGAGAGAGAGAGAGAGAAAAAAAGAGAGAAAGAGAGAGCGAGAGAAAGGACGAAAGATCTGGTGTTTAATACATCTGTAGTTTTTTGCTTTTGCTGGGGAGATCGTAATGGGGTGAAAACCCTAGAGCAGATGCTCTAAATCCTATACTACTACTACTACTACTACTACTACTACTACTACTACTACTACTACTACTACTACTACTAATCTGTCGCTGCGTAATCTGAAGTTCAACCTGATTTACAGAATAAAAGTTCCACTTCAGAAACTCTTCAAAAATTTGATATTGATAATATTTGATGCTACGTATGAAGTCTGTGAAGGAACTTTAGTTTTCCTGAGTTGGTGATGCGTTATTCGGTACACATTCGCTTAGGTTTTGGATCAAACTTAGGTAAATACTTACTCGCTCACTTAAATTATGCGCTTCGATAAGTTTGCTGATATAAAATAGGTTGAGTTTTCGTCATTGAAAAGTACGTGGTAACACGGATATTTGTTCTGAGCAATACATTTTATATTTAAAAAAGTATGAGTCTGAGAGGATAGGGTTTTCAAGAAAAGATGATTTTTTTTGTACTTAGCAGAACAACTAAGGCTAGAGTTTTCATTATGAGTTGAATGAAGTTTCAATGAATGAAGTAGACGAAAAAGATTTTCTACCCTGTGTTAGAGCTATTGCTACTGCTAAACAGAGAGAAAGGCATTTGTAAAAGTGCGTTTTTTGATGAAATTGAAATGTATGTTGGTATGAATTAGTAGAAGGTTTAGATTTTTAAAGAAATCTGTTTTTTTTTAGAGCACATAAAGGCAAATGAAGTGAAGCTTGGGAAGTTTTGTGTGAAAGGTTTCGAAGCCTTGAGAGACCCCGACTGCCTTAATTCATTTCAGAATTAGCCTCGATTAGACTGAAAGCTTAGAATGAGAGTGTAGCCGGCTGTGTTACGAGAGCTAAAGAATTAAAATTAATTTCGATTAAGTAGACAAGGGTTTATCAAAAAACACGGTTGTGTCAATCATCCCTTAGGGCGTTTTAAAGGAGCCAAGTTTTTTTGTTATTTTTTGGTAAAGATGATAAGAATTTGAGTGCCAGTATAAAGAATTTGATAAACTGTGAAAGTGATCATATGAAAAGGAGGAGACGAAACATTCGTTTCTTTTAAAAACATAAACTTGTTTCAGGTGCAACAAGACAGGACACATAACAGCTCATTATATATCATAGTTAGCGAATAAAACTAATCAGTCATCCAGTGATAGACCTTCTCTGAAATGTTTCAGATGCTTAGATTTAGAACAGATAGCTAGGGATAGTAAGATTGATTTAGTAGAAAAGTTGTAAGGGATGAGCAAATTGTGGCGGAACTAAATAAAATATTTTTAAGTTGTTACATTTCCGCAGATAGAGTTGAGGTTGACTTACTTATAGATTCCGGCGCAACTTGCAGTTTTACGAAGGATGAAAATTTAATTGTTGAATTGAACAAAAACTTTACTGAAACTGTTGAATTTACTAACAAACTGAGTCTAATGTTTTAGGACAAGGGCGAGTTGAGTTTACTCTTCAAGGGAATTACCTAAAAGTTCAAGGAGTGGTTGTGTCTATGTACCAGCGATTTCAGATTTTGTTGTTAATCAAAACTTACTAGATGAGGAGCTTAAGTAATATTTGATCAAAAGTTTTGTATTGAACAAGGAAATGGGACTGTTGACAATTAAATTGAGCGAAGATTTTTTGGTAAAATTATAGGATTTAAAAATTGAGCAAAATCAAGTGTTGATCGAGTCTAGAAGAATCTTTTAGGATTAATTAAGTCCTATTTTTGCAGAGAAAGATTGGGATTTTTAGTGAGCAAATTGAGGACCTGATGATGAACAATGATTTAAAGGGAAAGAGATTAAGCTGAAAAAAATGAATCTCGATCTCATCCTAAAATTAAAAGCTCTTTAGATTAATGGAGTAAACATGAGTTGAGAATCACGTAAAATTAAGAAGTTTCAGAGTAGTTACTTGAGGTTTGGTTCAAAGAAAGTAGAAAGCGTGAAGCTTGAAACCACAGCAAGACAATTTATCAAGGTTTTTGAGCTAGGAGAAGAATACTGATATTATTATCAGCAAAAGTCCTATTATACATGGTAAAATTGAAACTCCGGACTAGTCTAGGATATTATGCGTTACTCAATATGAAAAGAGTGAAATTTTGGAAAAAAGACTTCTCCTTTTTTAGAGAAGTCAATTCTTATTTTTCGGATTAATTTACGGCCTGATTGGATATGTCAAGATGTCACGCGATGTCATATCACAAGATATCACAACAATTCTATATAGATAGAAGTTGGTTTAATACTCTCATATCGCTCTCAAATTCAATTGTTGATTATACCTTGTTTTGCTGCCAATCTGTGATAGTAAGCCTGTTCCCTCGAGGTTTTCTAGGTCTCTGTATAATTATAAATAGAAACTTATTAAAAGGTAGTTGAACTGCATTTTTGGAAAATCAATTTTCTATCAAACAGCTGAATTTTAATTTTTTGATTAGGAGGGCATTCATAGTTTATATAAAGCTAATTCCATTAAAAGATTGTTTCGATTGGCAGCTTTTTTGTCAAAAAAATCATCTCCGGTCATCTTTTTATGTATTTATACTATACTGTCTGTTCTCCGAAAGTCGAATCTACAAAGTCGGGATTATGACCACTTCCGACAAACCGTTTACCTGCCCTTTCTTGAGTTTGTTCTCATGAACCTCGAGGAACGCTTAATAGTGCAGCTTATTCATTTGCCTAAGTTTGCAAGCTGTTGCCCCGTGATCTGATCCAGTTGTATATGAAGGACTGCTTCCCGATGGTAAATTCACCAGCGAGATCGAAGCTTGAAAAAACATATGATGTTTTCCCCGTGTAACGATATAACTGAATTTTTAGCAGCTGCCCTGAGATGCCACAAGTTTTCACAAGGCCACTAGTTTTAGCTTTGCTCTAAATCAGTGCTACCCTCCCCATGACGGTCTGTGGTGCTGAGCGCTCTTTTTCGAGATATATGCTATTAAAACTTATATCCACTCCAACATACAAGAGGATCTACTCTCGATCTGGCGCTTTTTCACGTCCAGAAAGACGTGGAAGTTAAATTCGAGGCTGTCAACGACAGATATGTCGCTACAAAAATAAAAAGTTTTGTTTAATTCCGTTTTTGGTTTTTGTAAATCTTTGAATATTTTGTTAACATTTTTTTCAATCCTCGTTCTCCCCTCTCAGAAAAAGGCTAGATCTGCCCCTGTTAAAGTCTTAGCTTTATCATGAAAACAACGCAGGCTCGGGTTACACCTTGGATATTTTTTGCATGCGTTTAAGGGCCTTCAAAAACAGCATTGGGGATGTGTGAGACTTCTCTTATCTCAAATGAAGCTGATTTCAATCGGGGACTGTGCAATAGCACTGAAACACAAAGAGATATTGAGTAGTTTGCAAAGCATGGTGGATCCTAGTTGGCCTGATGACATCAAATCTATGATCAAAATTGACAGTGACACTTCGAATACAGGGTGAAGTTGGTTCTCCGAGGTCAAAGACCGGATGAAGAACACTGGACGAGAAAAGTCTGCGGAAGAACAGAAGGAAGACGCGGTGTAGTAAAAAAATATGTTATATCAAATGTCTTCACACGTTTTGTGCCAGATCCATCTTGTGTGTCCTGCTTTTGGCTTGATGCATTTCCACATTCATCAATGAACTTGAAATTTATATGTCATCGACTAGATTGAATTCTTAGTTCAAATTATTTAGGCCGCTACTGTTCGAGAGGCGAATTTCAAAATACAAGTGTAATTGAACGAAAATTTCTTGTAAATACAAAATCATATCCTTGGGTCAAACGATAAGCCGAAGTTTTTTTTACTACAAAATAATTTGAAGTCTTACAAGATACCAAAGCTAACCTGAGTCGCATACCCTTCGAAGGCATCTGTCAAGCTCCCGCTATTCATTTGAAAATGTACTCGCTTTTCTCGAAAGGGGCTCGAAGCACTTAGGTCTTGCTATTCTCAAACTGCGACGACAATTTGATTATCACCCATTGAAAAATGTACCTGATCTTTATAGCCAACATTGTATTTTTTTTTCATTGTAAGTTACTGAACAAGCGAAATTTCTTCATGGTTTGAATTGTCCCCGGTTTTGATTGCGTGTGAATCATTGAATTTTCTCTTTCTATTCAATAACAACCTCTTCAAATCAAATAACGGGATTTTTCTTGTCCTGTTGTTTGAAGTTAATGTCCGAAAACTTAATTTTTTACGCTTGCGATTAGCAAGCGTCGGAAGAATGGATTTTTTTTCGATTCAACAACTAGTTGAACAAAAAAATTGATTCATTAGGGGCAGCAGTTCTGATCGAATGTCTAGTCAATTAATATTTTTCGAACATGTCTGCACTTTAAATCGACGTAGTTCTTTGGGAAGCTAATGAACATGGCGTACTCTTTATGCCGCCGAAAAATGACAGATAACAGAATTGGAAGAGTTATTCGGTCGGGCGTCGAGAAGCGGTCATATCTGTTTTGACGTCACATATATTGAAAGGTCGCAGGAGCTTATACTAGAAAGTTAAAGAGAATTTTCAGACAACATAACTAATAAGAAACTTGTGCCTAGATTGGAACAGTATATTTTCCGAAATTTTTGTCGGAACAGTTCTTTTGTTGACTTATTTCGATCATCAGCGCAATATTAAAGATGCAATTTTAGCCGTTTTCTTACGCCGGACAAAGTAGCTCTTTAAATTTGGTTATCTGTCATTTTTCGGCGGCATAAAGAGTACGCTATGTTCATTAGCTTCCCATAGAACTAATTTTAACCCATAAGTTCAAATTTCTTATAGTGTTTGCGAGTATGCTTCCACTGCTGGAACGCCTCGAAAACTAGTTTTGTTATACTGGCTAATTCACGCATTTAAAATGAGATTTCTCAAATTTTGGCCCTGCTAAGACCTTTCAAATAATGTCATCTTGCATATGTCAAAATTTCAATCCTATATTTTGAACAGTTGCAGAGAAAACAGAAAATACGTGAAGAAAAATTCGCTCATTGCGCGCTGAAATCAAAAAGTTGCGGCTTCTATGTCCCATGACTGTAATTGCATGTTTGACAAAATTTTGCAGATTATGGATTTTACGGATGATTCTCATGCAATGTACTCAGAAAGGAATAAGATCTTCGACTGCGCAAGCAAACCAGGCCATGTTAGGCTGAAAAAATGTTAGCAACAGATGCTATGAAAAAATGACATGTCTGTGTTCAAACCCCATGTCTTCTCGGTTTCAGGAACTTGTCTATCATCTGAGCATTGTTTATTCGAATATTTCCATGATTAGCTGCCATGACAAGCAGACTAGTGAATAGAACCGAATAAAGCCGACAATACATGTGTGATTTTCATTCCCAGCAATTGACGTGGCCAGCAATGCATTTATTTTCTGCTCATGCTCTTAGTTTGATAATTCTTAATTTGTACGAAAACGAGCTCATAATATATCACTGCCTTTTGTTTGTGTAAAGAATGTTTTAATTAAGATTATTTTTGTTAGATTATTAAAAGGGAAACGCAGAACCATTTTTAGTAAAACAATGACAGATTTTTGCAAGAACTTTTCAAAATTGAGGATGATCTAGAGAGATGAGAAGAATACTTAATTCGATCTTTTCACATAAAATTTCTTTTATCGTCTTTTATGTATGGAAAAAATTGTTTGTTCTGCATTTTGATGTCGCAATTGCCCCCCCCCCCCCCCCCCCATTGGTAGAGAGCCAACTTTGAGTTGACAGAAAGGACCTCCGCGTTGTATTAGTCGTTTATAGAGTTTATGTGGGTTAGGAAATTGAAAATATGCCAACTTCCTCATGTTAACTGTCCCTTGTTCGATATGTTAACTTTTTAACCTGTAAAATATGTTTACTTCCTGTTCTTGTTAACTTCCACTTGCTCGATATTAAAATTTTATTTCCTTCTTTTCGAAAGTGAGCCCTGTCAAGTTCACAGCACTGTTTCAAAGAAAACGGAGTTCTTATAGGGATCAATTGAGCGAGACAGGTTTTCAGATTGCTAATCACACTAGGGAGCTTGCGAGCGTTAGTGTATTAGTGCGAACCTTCTTTTTTTCTAACCTAACTCGCAATAAAAGTTTTCCTTAAAAGTGTTCACTTATATGGAAATTTCACTGTAGCATTGCTAATTGCATAGCACCTGTTCCCTGCTATTTTTGTGACTAGTGTCTGTGATAAATTAAGAGTCCGTGGCCGAGCGGTTAGTGCATAATCTCTAGGTTGCAGTAGGTCGTAGGTTCGAATCTGAGACGTAGCCGAAGTTTTTCTAATCCGAGGCTTATTTATACTTTTCCTTTTACCCTTTATGAGCTGCTTTTTGTCGTGTTCTCGCTAGTGTTTGCAAAGCGCAGCTTTGCCTCTGTGTAAAGGGTTTAAAATGAGAAAAGATTTTTTTCAATGTGGATAAATTTCATTGTTTTTAAAAAAAAGTTGTCATACTACAATATTTTTCTGCTTGGTATCATAAGATTTCAAATGTGTCTATTTTGAAACTGATTTTAACTGAAACTGATATCTGAGCGTGGCAGTTGGTTAATTCGCGGATAAATAATGGTTAACTGATGAAGGTGGAAACGCGAATGACTCGCAAATAGCAAGCTCAGAGTTCAAATTCAAGCCCATGCCAAAATTCCTTTTTAAATGAATTTTCTAGTTCTGCATTCGGTTTTCTCGTTTTTTTTTGCGCGGAAAAGTTAATTATTTATGCTCATTCATTGGAACTTCATGCTACATTCTGGTGTTAGTTTTCTTTTAATTTTGAATTTTGGCCTATTTCTAAATTAAACAAAGATAGCCAGCAACTGTGGAAATAGAAAGTTGCGACCAAAGTCCTAACAGAACAAAAACAAAAAAAGTTTTTTTTTATAAAATTAGTGTGGTCTTATCTGCGTGGCGTGATAGAAAAATCGGAATGAGAATCTAGAACTTGAGCAAATTCCAATGTCTCTCAAAATTCAGTTAATTGAAAAAACAGTTTTTGAAAAAAATGACTAGAAAAACAAAAACATCATTATAAAATATTAAAAAATCTCAGAATTATTGTCAAATGTTTTTGCTGATTTTTTGTCTTTCCAAAATGGCTTCAATAAAACTTCAAAATTAATATTAATTTCATAGAACTACGTTTTTACGGCTTAAATTAAGCATAAATAAGCTATTTTAAGCCTCCTCGCTCGCTTTACTTGCTCGATGTTAGACAAAAAATCAAAAATTTCAAACCGGTTTTTCTCGACTCCGGGAAAGTTTTTTTGGCAATTTTTGAAATAGTTCGAATCACGGCTTCACAATGAAATATCACTCAACTCGTTCCAAAAGTTATTTTTGGTAGCTTTTTCGGTTGGAAAACAAAAAAACTAAAACACCCGAATACAAAGTTGCCCGTTTTCAAATTTCGTGCATTTAGCTATCTGTTTCTCTCTTTGGAGGCTAGGAAGTTTTTTCTTAATTGTCAATGATAGAAATGAAAACGCCATAGAATCTGAAAAGCCCGTCTTGCTTAACAAAATCGCTCATTCCGGAATGTAGGGAAATAATCTTAGCCTGATGTGCTATTATCTTGATGTATTATCTTGATGTATTATCTTGATGTACTATTCTAATACAGGCAAGTTAAGGCCTAATGGTAGCTCCTCGGTGATTCGCAGGAGCAGAACTTGTTTTTTTTTTCACTATTTAGTTCCATGGTTTTTTTTGAACAACTTTTTATTCTAGAAATTGTTTACGCTTGTTTTTAGCGTTTTTATTTTAATTTTCACATCGATTTCAATTTAACTTTGTTTGTTAAAAATTAATCAAGTTGCGCGCCCTCGATGAAAAAAGCAAATGGTGCACAAACGATAGATGACGTGGAAGTTCAAAATTATACTTGTGAAGAAATTAGTCTCATCATCGTTTCTTCTGGTATCTCAAGATTTGCTTTATTGTTTTTACAACTGTACTTGGTTTCTTCAAAATTATTAGTTTTTCGGTTCAACATTTTTTTCTTATTGGTTTTCGTTTTTGGCAGTTGATAAAATTTGATTTCTGACAAGTCTTCTAGTAATATAGTGATAACAGACAACTCAAGTTTAATGATTTTCCTGCTGAGTAAAAATCACTCATTGAGCCAGTTTCACTAGTTTTGTTTGTTTTATCAAAAAGCGACAAATATCTAAATTTTTTGAAATTCCAAGACCTGCATTAGACTCACAATATCTAGGTTGCAGTAGATCTTAGGTTCGAATCCAAGAGATAGCCGAATTCTCACTAATTCGAGGTTTATTTCGTTTTTTGCCGTTTATAGAGATTTTTTTGTCTTGATCTCGCTGGTGTTTGCGAAGCGCAGCTTCGCCTGCGTGTAAAGGGTTTAATATG